TAATATTATTTTCTGAATATTTAAGATATTAACTTTGACCCATCTGCTTAAATTCAGCAAAAGTTTAAGACTTGAGAATAACTTTCTTGCTTATTAAATTTTTAATGCCAGAAAAATCACATTTTGTGAGTGCAGAAATTGATTATGTGTAGCAATTTGAATCTTTCCTTAGTCACAATTTTAAATTGTCTTTTTTTAAATAGACTTATGGTTCATTTTGTTCCATGCTTTATTTGGATAAAAATATTAGAGGGAAAACGTTGAAGATGTATTTTTTTTTATTAAGACATAGGTTTCAGTGCAAAGAGGTCATATTTTATGTAATGTAGCGCCAAAAGAAGCATCTTGACACCCACATTTTGATTTGATTTTTAATTAAGAAATTTAAGATTTAATTAGAAAGTAAAAATATACTAGACCAAAAAAATGTTTAAGACTTTAAATATCAGGATCGAACGTCGTTAAATGATTTAACCATTCAGAAAATGCCTGTTCAGAAGAATTCTATAAAGTCAAACAATACACAATTTTCTTAATAAGTAATTGTAGAAAAAAGAAAAAAAAATATCAATATGTGTGGGTCAATTGTACTCTTCAAAGATCAGTAGAAATAATTGTTTTTAAATACGAAAAATATTGAGTTTAAACGCAAAGAATATTGCTTTTTCGAGGGTTGTCACTGTATCTATAATATTTGGCGTCATATTATCGGATATATTGTACCAAAAGATGTATAAAAGCTAACCAAAATTGAAAATTCCTTTTAATAATGTTCAATTGAATTAGCGTTATAGACGTTCTAAGCTGTTTAAAAAAATAGGTGTAACTGCGTCACAACATAACGTCACATTTTAAAGTGTATATTGTTAGAATGAACAAAGACAAACACATTAAAAAGCATCTAAAAAGCGTCTAATCGGCCAATAAATTAAAAAACAACATTTTCTTAAGTTGAAAATAAAATAACGTCATTACTTTTGGATAATAAATATTGTTGTTCTAATCTGCTGTATTGAACAAAGGAAATGTCGAAATGGAAAAAAATCGCTTAAACGAGCTGTAATGCTTTTATTGCTCCAAAATGGGAAATTCGCCTGTAGAGACAGTTACGATGATTCATCAGACTCACAGAAAAGTTAATCTAAATAATAGATTTGCTTATAGATGGTTTTAGCGATTTTAACGGGTCTTTGGTCAGTAGAGAACAGGAGGCCCAAACAAGAGGCCCATGGGCCATATCGCTCACCTGAACAATGTGGCTAGTAAAAAAGCAGAAATCACTTTATTATTAAACCCAATAGTGGTCCCAACCAATCCTCAAAAGGGAGTGGGTATAGTTTGAGCAAACTAAGGATGCTTGCATATTTCTTTGATCGGCCATTGAAGCCCTGCCCTGAGAATGCTTCCATAAAAATAGGATCATTCATGCCTTTGTTATTCTTAAGAAGAATTTTTTTTTTAATTTCCCTATATTTCTATGTAAAACTTTGATCGACCATTGAAGCACTGCCCTGCCCCCACGGGTCATGATTTGAACAAACCTGAATCTACACTACCTGAGGATGCTTTCATATAAGTATGATCATTCATGCCTTTGCTTTTCTTGAGAAGAAGATATTTAAAGAATGATTCTATATATTTCTATGTAAAACTTTGATCAGCCATTGTGGTTTCAGTCCGTCTCATCCTACCCCCGGGGTCATGATTTGTATAAACCTGAATCTGCACTACCTGAGGATGATGGTTTCCTATAAGTTTCATCTTTCCTGGCCCAGTGGTTCTTGAGAAGAAGATTTTTAAAGAATTTTCCTATACATTTCTATATAAAAATTTGATCGGTCATTGTGGCCCCGCCCTACCCCCGGGGGTCATGATTTGTACAAACTTGTATTAACACTACTTGAGGATGCTTCCTTATAAGTTTCATCTTTCCTGGTACAGTGGTTCTTGAAAAGAAGATTTTTAAACATACTTTTTCATTATTTCTGAATTATCTCTCCTTGAATAAGGGCGTGGTTCTTAATTTAAACAAACTTAAATTCCTTTCATCTAAGGATACTTTTTGCCAATTTTGGTTGAAATTGGCCCAGTTGTTCTTGAGAAGAAGTCGAAAATGGGAAATGTTAACGACAACAATAACGACAACAAGGACGCCGACACAGACAACGGACAAATTTTGATCAGAAAAGCTCACTTGAGCCTTCGAATCAGGTGAGCTAAATAGGAGGTCGGGTGGAAACGTTCAATAGTGTCTGACGTTGTCCAAAAAGAGAGACGTGTCACGATTATAGCGATGAGAAACTTTCAGTTTGTCTTATGGAACTGTTCAAAGAGTTTTGACAGAGGACTGAATTATGTACAGAATGAGTGTAAAATGGATGCCAATAATTCTTTAAAAGAGAAATATATGTGAATTTGATCGTGAACTTCAAATATTTTTTTAATGAAACGAATGGGGAAACGTTTATGACGGCGCGTATTCATCATATGACGTAAATTAGGTGCGGCGACTACCATAAACACTTTGTATATAATTCGATATTTTGAAAAGTATAAACCATTTTAATTTGAATTTTTCAGGACTTATTTGTAATAAATATAGCTTTGATCATGTATAATTTCGTTGATTTACGCCGACTACTAGCAATTTTATCGAAGTTGTGACATTTCTGATATATCGACCCGTGTAAATGCAAAAAATAAAAAAAAAACTACTGCGTTTAAACGCAAAAATTATTGCGTTTAATCACAAAAGTATTAAGATTAAATGCAAAAATTATTGCAATTAAACGCATCAAACATTTTTGCGTTTAAACGCACGAAGTATTGCGTTTAATCGCTTAATTATTGCATTTAAACGCAATCGTTTGCGATTAAACGAAAAGTGCTTTGCGTAATCTTTGCGATTAAACGCAAGAAAAAATATTTCTTTCTCTTAACTGACCTCAACGGACTTCCATACTAACCTTATGGACCAGGCAAAATTTATCAAAATGATGGGACCAGTGCAAAATTAATTTCTCATTTTAAAAAATTACATGCCCCATGGCTTCTTATTTCAAAAGTTATAATCTACCCGTGCCTTTACATCTATTAAAAAGTTACTGTCCCATGGTTATATCTTGATGGTTATAGTGAGAATATTGCAACAAAAAATCAAAGTTACCCATTACTTATATGTATGTATATTACTTGAAAGAGTTTGTTTCTTTGTTAAATTTTGCATGCAGCATGCATCGATTTGAAGTTTTATTTTCGCTTTGTATGCATGACTTTTAAAAGTGATAATACATTTTTTTAATTCTTGGGGAAAAGTATAACAATGCGTAATTGTGTCTCAAGTTTAGTAAAAAAAACAATTTTGCCCCTTGGGCACTTAATATTAAAATTATTTTTGCCCAGTGGTTTTCTTCAATGAAAAGTCATTGCCCTATGCCTGTTTGTACCGGTCCCATAATTGTGTCTTGTCCTAAGGAGGTGATGGAAACTCATGATATAGAAATCAGACTTTATTAGTTTGAAAATAAAAATGTATCACTTTTTTGTTTAAGTGTTCTCTGTTATGATAGCTGTTGTCTTATCAACAAGATTACCATACGCAGTGTTGTTTTAGGATGTGATACTCCTGGAACGTATGGAAATGATTGCAATAGGAGATGTCCATCAAAATGCCAAGAACAACGATGTCACATTATCAACGGAACCTGTTTAGGTTGTACGGAAGGATGGAAAGGAGATAAGTGCGAATATCGTAAGACTTTTCACATTTTAAAAAGTATTTTCATTTCAAAATTAAATTGATTTTATTGATTTTATTAAAAGATATACCAGGGTTAAAACAAAACTGGTATCAAAATTGCTAAGTGTGGAAATGTAATAGTTTTCACATATAAAAAAAAATCGGAATTGATTGTTCAAATGAAAAGATAAACGAGGGTTCAAAAATAGTAATTCCAAGTAACAAAGTTTTTTAGAGAAGTCAATAAACTTATAACTCTATTAATATGACTTCTGTCCTAAAAAATTAAAAAAGAATAAACAATACTTTCGGTAAAAATAAAACAACGCCAGTTTTTTTTTTTCACTTCAGGAAAAAAAATATTTTGAAGCCTTATGACGCTTATTCGATACTCATTTCGAATAAAACAATGCACACGATAAGTGCAGAAATGAACGAGAGAAATATGAAGATAACGAGTTGTTATAAAGGTAACACCTTTCTAACACTACACATAAAGACTAAGAGGTGGGATCAGATGTCTTGGAGTTCTAAGCATCCAATGTTACCGTGTAAACACCATGTGCTCTATGTGATGATTGGGAATCCAGGAAATTTATTGACAATACAATGTATGAAAAAGTCAGTTCGGAAATAAATTTGGATAAATTTCAAGAATTTTTAATATTTCAAAATAAAAGACAAGTAGTATCAAACTTTACTGCAAATGTATTTCCAATGGATCAGTTAGTAATACTTTGAAAATCAGACGTGATTATTTCGGTCTAGTTTTTTTCTCTATTTTTATCACAAACCTTTCAACGCAATACAAAATATTTTATTTTGATTTACATTAATTTTTTCTCTAATTTCTTCTACATTTACTTGTAACATTTATTTTAAGATGGAATTATACCTTTTAATGTTTAAATCCTAATTCAATTAATAAATGCATGATGATTTTATTTCTAATATAGGATGTCCAGAGGGATATTATGGTTTGGAATGCAGAGGTATTTGTTCAAACAACTGCCAAGAAAACAGAACCTGTAATCACGTGACTGGGAACTGTGACAACGGCTGTTCTGATGGATGGACTGGTGGACGTTGTAACAAAAGTAATATTATATCGTATTTATTTTCAGATATTTCTATGTCGCTACATATAGAATTAAACATACTTTTATGTATATTTATCTTTGTATCACACGAAATACCAATACCAACTAGAGTAAAGAGGCCAAAGAATTTATATAATACATATTTTATTACTTTTCTCTGTTTTCTCATTCTCTGATTGACTCAAACTTGCATATTTATATGATTTCATTTACTTGTTTCTAAAATCAACTATGATTGATAATTTATTTACACAAAGCTTACATGTATATTCCATAAAAGTAACAAGTAGCCTTTCAATGTCACTATTTCACTATTTCTCCGATGACTATCACTCAAATTTTTGTATGTCATTTTTAATACATCGATTTTTTTGTTTTGTTATTTTTATTTAGACAACAGCGCTTTCTAAAGCTAGTTCAAACATAAATCATTTCCGGGAAGATAATTCTGCAGTTGACCAAAATCAAAACGAAAACCTTCAATATATAAACGAGTTTAGTTTTTTTTTAAATACAATGTGACATCTGAATAAAAGAATTCCGTTTTTTAATTAGACAGAACTGTCATTTATTTAGATGTATTGTTTGGGAGGAGCAACATACCGCATAATTTTTTTTATTTTTACTGTTTGCATGCATCCACCAAAAAGTAATTTGGTTCAATTAACTCTAGTACTGTGATAAACAAGGATTCCACAAAGCGGAACATCACCTCGCTAAGAACTTATTTATAAATTTAGACAGCATTTGATATCGATATTGAGACTCCACCAGATTCCAGTGGAGCGTTACAAACTCGTGAGTCACGGCATCTTATATCAGCGCTGCAGCATTTTTGTGCAACTGTGAAATGGTGTGAAGATTCCCATAACAAGTCCGAGATTGGATTCGAATCCGACACGTAGGGATCAACGCCTTATTTATTGACTTTGGAACAAACTCATTAACCACTGAATTACATCGTGTAGCTCATGAACGACTCTGTAGAAAATAAATATCATTTCTACAACGAGGTATATTATTGACAAACAAATGGATAAAAAAGAATTTCAACAGGCACGTTTAAAGTCATCTTTACGTAAGTTCTATGCGATATGGTTGATACAATGACCTTGTCAGCAAAAACAATTTATCATTGAATCAAATGCTGACTGACGTTTTTCATATTAATTGTTAATCCATTATTTATACACTGCATTGACGACAGATTTTTCCGCTATTTCTTGATCATGACAAGGAGCACACGGCGGGTGATGCTCACTCCTCCATGGCACCTAATCCCACCTCTGATGTTTTGGAGGTCCGTTATTGCTCTGCTCCTATTTTCCTTTGTTTTATTAACTTTTGATCTGGATTACTGTTAGTTATCTCCATATGTTACATTGTTGACCGGTCACCCGCTTATTCTTCTTGATAATGTAAACGGAAAATTCGTAGACTATACAAGGTACGTGAAAATAATGAATTAATAATTTGTATTAAAAAAATAAGTCAACACTCGACTTAACGGTACTGAATAGCTAAAAATCATATATATGTTTTTAATATTGTAAAATTACTTTAATTCAGAGTTCATTGCCTTTTTCTTCCTTCCGAAGTGTGATTCCAGCTCCATTTTTATTGCATATTTAGATAATAATCATAATTACTTTAAAAAATCTAAGACTTTAAATTTTGTGTTACATCATTGAAAAGTCTAAAAAGAGAGAATTTTCTTCATTAAGTCACCTCAGTCATTCAGGTGACCTGCGGGAGTATTGCATGTTTTAGTTTACATAATACCAGAGGAATTTCGGTTAATAAGGTATATGTAAAGCAGGTTTAGGCTAATTATAGTATTCAAAATCTTATTGACGTCGAAGAAGATTTATTGTACATCTTGTGATTGAAAAATATTCATATTATCATTTTATCTTTTTCATCGTTATTAACATAGAAATACTCCAAAACAAGTTGCACCGTGACAGAAATATGTAGACAAAATATCACTACCCTCTGTGATTCGGTCGCCCTATGACCTCTGACACCGAAATAAAATTCATACAGAATCGAACATATTTTCTCTTCAATAGGTTCATGTAAGAAAGATGTTTGCAAAATTTAATGTAAATATTGTTCTTTAAGCTCATCGTTCATAGAATAATAATAAAATGATGATTATGTTATAATAATAATACATACTATATATAGAATAAAGTGTTCTTAATTTGATAAACTTTATTCTAAGACTCGTATTAATTTTTTATCATAAAATTCTGTTGTTCTTTTTTTAATTGATTAGCTTGTGGTCCTGGTCGGTATGGACAAAATTGTTCGTATATTTGCTCCAGAAATTGTAAAGATGCCAGGTGTGATCATGTCTATGGGAAATGTATATGTAAACAAGGATGGAAAGGATCAGACTGTTTGACAGGTAAAATTTCTTATAAAAATTTCTCTTACTGATTTCGAAAAAGGAGGAATGTATTCATTTATTTATATATATTATCTAGAATCTTCATTTTCATTTAAAATTACGTGCTGTATTATTTATATTATGCAGAATGTTCAAATGGCACATTTGGAGAAAATTGTCTTCAAAACTGCAGTGATCAATGCAACAACAATGAAGTGTGCAACAATACCAATGGAGAATGTCCAAATGGTTGTAATAGCAACTACGAGGGTGTAACCTGTCATAAAATGAGTATGGATTGTAAAACCTTTATACTTATTTTAATTTTAATCACAAAACTATTTGAATCTATTTAATTCTCATAATTCCTACTACTTAAAATAAATATTGATTTCATTTTTGCTGGTTAGTATGCCATTAATTCTTCATCCTCACGATGCCAGTCGTCCTAAATCCACTTGTGGCCGTTAAACACCAAAAAATGTCGTTCGATATCAAACGGGCTTGTTTCTCCTTATGAGAAGTATGCAACAGATCGGTACTTAAAAACAAACCACTAATTAATGTTAAATGTAAACCGAACGTATAAGCAATTTTTTTTCACTAAAAAGTTTTATATGAAGAGACGGGGCCCTTAACTATATGCACCAAATCTAGTTGGTCATTACGATAGGGATCAGTGAATTTCATTTGGGTTTTAACTGACAGGATTAGCTATCTTTCATTGCAGAGAGCACCTTTCGATTTTGATGTAAAAGTTCGTTTGATAGTATTGTTAAATGGCTTGTCTGCTCAGTTTATGTTAGCTTTATAAACAAAAAATTAAAACTTTGGTATTTGGGTTGTATTAAATTGTTGATTTGGAATAAAATTGTATTCATTTCCATTAAAATAAAAATGTGATGACGAAGAAGATTCAGTAAAGAAACTAAATTCAAATGATGCAGTTTTGAACACGTTAAAAGAATTTTTCTGGGGATAAGGGGGTGATGGGTTTATAAGGGTGTCGTTTTTCTTTTAATCTGTTGTTCCCCTTTCACTGAAAGGGGTGATATTAATTTCGATCTGTCTTTCAGTCCCTACCGTGTCTAGCTGTCTGTCTGTTATATTTTCGTTTCTGCTCGATATCTCGAAAAGGATAGAGCTTTTGCAGTAAAATGTTATACCTCAACTTCCTAAGGAAGACCCCCTTATTTTTTATGTCAAAGGACATAGTCCTAAAATCATACATTCTACATTCTAAATCTGTGTGCAAAGATTTCAATTCTGGGCGATACCTCAATAAAATTTTGAGCTTTTGTAATGACATTTAATATTACATGTATTATTTCATTTGGCCCCTCCCGCCCTTCTGAAAGTCCTCCCTAGCCCCATCTCTAGATCCGCGTATAGGTTTCTTTTTTTCTTCCTGAAGGACATACATAAGGACAGACATTCTCTGAGTAAGCTAAGCTTGTTTTTTCATTTATTTTCTGCCTTTAGTGTCAAAAATTGGATCTAAAATAAAGAAGGAAAAACATTTATAGCCTTTAGGGAATTTTCCTTGAAATATGAAAAAAGTTTTTCATTTCATGTGTGTATTTAAACAGCTGTCATCCTTAACCAATTAAATGGGCTATTACGCTCACATCCCCATAATATTTATTCTTCATTGACATGTTGATAATTCAGTAAAAAAGACAAATGATTTTGTATGTTTCATTCATAAAATTAATCAATATAAGAAGGAAATAAATTCATAAATATTAATTAAATGTTATTTTAATCCAACAAAATTATCAAATCGACTGCATCCTATTGAAATTGATACGTAAGTAGATATTTACATTAGCTGTGTTTTTCTAGAAAGCCAACTGTGAAAATGATTTGAATACCATTTTCATGTATACTCACGCGTAAAAATATACACGGAGAAACTTGCGTTAACGTGACGTCACAATGAGGCTACGTCTACGTTAGTGAAAATGCAACAATATAGGGCAACGAGAAATTTAAATATTGAGTACATTATTGGTTTTTTCAAACATGTAAAATATTAGGGATGATTTTAAGTTTAGTGTTAAATATTCGTGTGTGAATCACACAGACTTGCATGTAGGCATATTTTTCATGAAGCGCGCTATCACACACCAATAACTCACACAAAACTTAAAAACATTCCTTAAATGAATGGACCCTCTCGTGTAAAGAGGAACAGTCCAATCTCGACATGTTGACCTGCGTCATTTCATTTAAAGGTTTTAGAGCGGTAAGTAGAATAAAATTAAAGTTCTTGTCGTTAATGGTGCAAGATAACCTCCTCGATTTTGAAATGTTCAAAAATAAAAGCATATGCTAACCTTTCGGATTTTTTTTTATTTCAAACAACATTTTTCGACCTCTAAGGTTATCCTGCAATATTCACGCAAACGGGAATTTAATTCTTAAATACTCATAAAAGTACTATAAAATATTCTAAAAGGAAAAATACTGATATTTTGAATGATAAAGTGGTTGCTCCTAGCTATGCAAAATTGCAGAATCAGCAAAACCCCAATCACAACATGAAATTACACTGCCTGTCACCATCGTGATTGTTGCTTGCTTTCTTGTGCTGATCATACTGATAGTCATATATGTGATAATATGGAAACGGTGAGTATTTTAGAATTAATTATATCAATTATTCATTGATCTTTGAAACACTTATACAATTCTTCGCTACGTATTTAAGAATTCTTTTGAAAAGCCAGGCTGTGGTCTTAATACTTCGTACATATTACAGTATGTATTTAATTACTTTACTTTCTGCAGAAAATATCGACGTGGGGAATTAAAACGTGACCCTGAACATTTGCCGACTGAGTCAAAAGGTAAGACCATTCCAATTTTTTTTCAATGTCCAGTTGCCATACATCTGTCTTAAACCTGCCTATCCACTCGCAAAAAGGACATCACCAGTAAAATAAAACACAGACTTTAGAGTAACAAATCGAACATGCGTTATTCAATGGATTTCATTTCACATATCAATTTTGTTGGTAGAAAGATCTATTCTTTAGCAAAATAAAAGTTTCAAATTGTTAAAATCTACTTTATATGATATACTGTAGATCAGTGTTTAGAAAAATTAAGGAAAATTTGACAGAATAATCAATTTTAGGATTTTGATTTTGTTTAGGATTTTTTTTCTGATAGGGAATGTCGAAAACAAAGGTGCACGCGAATGCTAAACATAAATAAGATGTCTTTGTGAAACACTATGCCCCCGATGGTAACACAAGTCTGGAGTAGGACGTAGACTGAACTGGTATACACTTTTAAGATGTTTAAGGGCTTCAAATGTAGGTCAAAAGTCACAGTCGAGGTCACATGATAAAAAAAATTCTGTACCAATGGAAAGGTCTTGTCATAATGACCACTCATGTCAAAATATTGAAGCCTTACCCTTTATAGCGCTAAAGTAATGGGCTAGATTAAAGTTGGCAACAGACAGACAGACAAACAGACAGACAGGACAAAAACAATATACCCCCGGGATTCTTTCGATCCAGGGGCATAAAAACCTTGGAATAGCCTGAAAAATTAATCATTTTAGTTTTTGCCTACTCTGAAACTAACATGTACTACTGCATGAATGAAAATTAGAAAATGATTGTAGGTCTTAGTTATTAAAATGCGAGTATTGAATATTCTTAAAAATCCCATACAATACTAAAACATATATTTCATGTATGATCATGTAAAAAAATTATTTTAGAATAAATGAAGTTGTTTTTAATTGGAGTTGTCATCATGCAAACTAAATATATAATAATTTTAATGAAAACAGAAAGTAAAGACATTCATTCGTACACAAATGAGACGGCTAACTTACAAGAAGAAGCAAAAACAATTAACAAAAACCAGAAAATTTCTGTAGCCGACCTTTGGAAGACCATAGAAGAGATGTGCGAGGATAATGGTTCGGGTTTCAAAGCAGAGTACGAGGTATGACATATGTTAACCACATAGGTAGTTAATACTTGTATAAACAATTGCAAAAGATATTATCCAAAGCAATTTGATTAAAATCAAATCCTTAATACTGTTCGTTTCACCATATGTTTCATCCTTTGATTCTCTCACATAGATTGCTATACCAGGTAGCGATCTAGTGTGAGCGAATCAAAGGATATTTTTTAATTCAGGTTGATATCTAAAGCTGGATATACCGAACAATATTAGATGTACACATGTATTCATTATGAATAGTTTCGCAGGGATAACTTAAGATTACTATAGTTACATGTAACTATAATTCTTCTTAATAGCTAATTATATTCACTTTGATACTTTTATTCAAAATGAAACAAGCTGAAGACACCCTAAAATTCAATAAGATTCAGAGTCCTATCATCTCAGAAATATAATACCAATGTTGTAACGGATGACTGCACTTAGAGCTGTGATTTTGGGTCTTTTTCGGTTGCCTCTATTACTTAACCTTATTTCACTTTTGTATATTTACTACAGAAGTCTGCCAGTTTGGCAACAAATTAAAATTCTAGACTGTAAAACAGTAAACAAAGTTCCTTTTTTCTTGTCCTTAGTGTTTTCCAAATACAGAGAATTTACATTTATCTGCCCTTGGTTGAACATTAAGTCTACTACTGGGTTTTAAATTAGACTAAATGAATATCAATGACATGTATTAAAACATTTCAGATCGTTATTTACCATTTCCCTATTTGTTCTGTATGACACAAATACATTTTTACAAAGGTAAAAGTCTAATTTGCATCCCTGCACCAACACATAATCTCAAAATAATATTTAAAAAACTCTTCAAGGACATTAAACAAATTGAAATAGTAGTAGTGCTCTTACTTACCAAAAAATAAAATGCAAATAATGTGTTTCTCTAAAAGGAAAAGAGAATTATATGTAATTGAGAATATTTATAGTTTTACTATTTTCAGTAGGCGTCCACATAAGATTTAAATTAATTTGGAAATCTAAATTCATATTTCAAGCTATTTACGTGCTATAGATGATACAATTTTGCAATTTTATAAAAAGAATCATTCCTTTCTCCGAATGTGGGATGGTGTAATAAGCTATCAAGATCGCGAATCTTGTTCCCGACACGAGTATGTAATGAATGATTATTTTTTGCCTCATTATTTTATCCAAAACGAAGGGTCTATCATTTTTAATTAAAATTTACATATACAGTGGAGCCTCATTTATCCGGACTCTTTGGTTCCCAGTCAAATTGTCCGGATATGTGAAGTGTCCGGATATCTGAATTACCAGTTAATCAAGACAAAATAACGTTAAAAAATTCTGTTCCCATGAATAATCGTCCGGAAACTGAAGCATCCGGATATCTGGCGTCCGGATATCTGAGGGTCCACTGTATATTTTTAATTTTGTATCGAATTCAAAATCTAAAAACATCATGAGATAGTACCTGAAAATGGTTTACACGTTTTGTGTAATTCAGAAAATTCATTTCAATCCACTTTAATTATTTTTAGACTAAATGATATAAACAGGAAAATATATATATATATATATTCGATAGCGTACAATTCATTGAAGAAGAATCCTTCCACGGTCGTTAATAGTACTATTTAAAAAGGGACAAAAAACAGTATTTTAAATTAGAAAAATTTATGTTATTGAATTAAACAACAACATTTTAAAGGTGCATGGACACAGATTTTCAGTATAATATTACGAATTATATATTTTTAATAGCATTTCACACAAAAATATATTTAAAACTTTTCAACTTAAAGTTATTGATACTTCAAATATTTGGATGGGTTTGATTGACACATCCTTGCATTCTCACAAAGTTTACTTTTATTCTAAATACTTAGAAAAAGTGGCAATCTTGTTGTGTATTAATGAAAAATTTTAAAACGTTAATCCAGATCTGTGTTCATGCACCTTTAAGTATACTGTATATGATTTTTAAAGGACATTTTTACATGCATAAGAAGAAAAACTAGGTAATTTGCATTATTTGACCAAAATCAATTACACAAAAACTTTTTAAAGACTTTTCAACTTTATACAATCATTCCCCATGATAAATTAAAGTCCAGGATTTTTGATATCATTGACAGTGCTTTTCAATAAAAATGGTACTCTTAAATTTACTTACCTTTTAACTGGTCATTTTCAATTTTTTGACAATGTCTACGTGGTCTTTAGAGACCAGACTTACAAAATAATTATTTTAATACACATGGGTACCAATTGCGCCCAGTTATAGGTAGGTCTATTTTTGCCTTCATATGAAGCAGAATTTGCCCAAAATCTTAAACCTGAAAAATAGAAACCACTTGCTGTGACCTTTACCTTGACATTTAGATATACTAGTATTCACGATGTATTGTCAATTTAACATGGTTGCATGTATTTCAATTCTTATGTCAATACGATATACCGGTGAGCTTGAGATAAAAGATACCACAAAGTATGACATATATCTTTCATATTTGGATATTGTAATTGAAAAGGACGTTACTTGACATCTAAGAAACAAGCTCTATGATAAACGTGGTGACTTTTAACCTTACAGTCGTCAACTTTCCTATACTTATGCATCTATGCACCTGCATCACCTGCTTACAGAGTTTATATATCTCAGTTGATTCCATACGCAAGAGCATGCTCCATGTACAAACAATTTCTAAAACGAGGTAAATTATTGACAAACAGGTCAATGAAACAAGAATATCAGCAGTCTCGTTTAAAGTCATGATTTCGTAAGTTCTATGGTCGAAACAATGTTGTCAGCAAATACAATTTATCCTTGAGTCAAATGCTTTTTTCATACTAATCGTTAATCCATTATTTAAACAATGAATTGACGACTGACTATCCGTTATTTCCCGATCATGACTTGGTATGACCAGTCGGCATGGGATGCTCACTCCTCCATGGTACCTGATCCCACATCTGAAGTTTTTGAGGTCCTTGCTTGCTCTGCTCCTATTTTGTATTGTTTTATGGACTTTTAAATTTGATATTGAATACTGTTCGTTATCTTTATGTTTCAATTTAATAGATAATTGCTTTTGTTGAAACTAGGACTATATATACATCATCGATCCTCCATTCCAGGATGTTTTTCGTTAGTAACGACTTAAATGTAAAAGGGGACAGCATGTTAATAATATCCTTCTGGGCATTCGTCTCTATGCAGTGTATAGGCTGGTAGATGTAAGGGGCATTTTTGAGGGATACCAAGGGTTGCATATGTCAAGGAATGAGTTTCGTGTATTTTAATTTAATTTGGTGTTTCAGCACCTTTGTTATATTTATCGATTTTGACATATCTCTAAGTAGTTGAGTTACAAGGCCTCAATCGTATATATTCAACACTTGTATAACGGTGTTCAGTTCCCCTTCTCATATCAAAAATGTATTGTTAAATCAAAGAGTGCTTAATAAAAGAATTTTTGTAGCTTTTCCAGTGTTGGAAAGAAATTTGATTTCTTCAGGTTTAAAAGAGTAGGACCTTTTGGGGATTATTTTGTGTGTGCTTTTAAGGATGTATTCTTATGATACGCGGAAAAAAACGTGCATTAAACTTTCTAAATGCTTATATTTTTCTGACAATGTAATACCCAAGGAATAATTTAAAGACAAGAAAAGTGTATGTTAGTGTTCATCTAAGAGAGATTCAACCCTTTAAACATAGGCCAAAATAGAGCAAGGGAAATTTCATTAAAAATGCTAATAGACCATAAAATACCTCATAAAACTTGTAAATACAGTGAATTAAAACTTAATTCAGCTGAAATTTACTTGAAAGTATTGCAAAGTTGATTTTTTAAGCAAAATATGAGCAAATAAATACCAGTATAGATAACTTGTACCCAAAAATGTTGTTCACTTAAGTCAAAATTAGGCACATTTTTCCCTTTAAAATTGCTCGAAAAACCAAAGAAAAACATATTTCTACAATTAAACTTTTTAAGAAAATTGTTGTACAATTTCTTTTGGCATTATGGATCCTTTTCATAGCAAGAAAAGTTGGGGTTAGTGCACATATAAGAAAGTTTTGATATTTTTTATATCCTCACCCCCTGTTTCTTTTTCAGCATTTAATGAAAATAAATCAAGGCATTTAGGCATCAAAGTATGTGTTTTATTCACCAAATATTCAAAATTAGTGTGATAATTTCTGGTAATAATTGCAATTTTGTTAAGAAAAGATTTTTAAGAACAAAAAGTAATCAATTAACACATAAAACTTCATAATAATCTGTTTGATGTCCTGTCTTTCTCTTGCCCTGTGGGTTCCGGATTGGGTCCTGGTTTGTGGTGTTGGATGGTGGCCTCACAGGGATTAGTCAAATCCAGTCTCACTTTCTCAATCTGATTTTCATGGTTTTCTCCATCTGATTTTAGTGGTTCTTTAACCCTGCTCTCTTCTAAAAGCCTTCATTAGTGGTTCTTGTGAAAACAAGACTTACCTGTAAAAAATTATTTTAGAAAAAAGTAGATTATAATTTACTGGTAATATCATTGCTCCAAAAAAATGTTAAATCAATATTTTGTCTATTTGACTTTTTTTTATGAACCCAGGCCTGTAGTTTAGACTCAAATAATTTCATGTTCATGATGTTTCAGAAATATTCTATTTTTTTTAACCCGCATACGCCGCCATAGAATGAAGCGACCTAGTTTCTTACCGAATGCAAACAGCTAAAAATTATAGATGTTATCTTATTATTTTCGTACGGTATGTCTATAAATTTTGGACAAAGAATCTGCATTTACAATATCAAAGGTCATTTATCATATACTAAGAGCTAAAGTTGCAATAAAAAAGATAATACGAATGTTGTCGTCTGCACGCCTCTGGAGACCTTAGGCCTAATGTACGTTACGTACATGTAACATGTTTATGCTATGTTTGAGTTTGCGATGTGACAGTATACTACACAGGAAAAATGTCCACATGTGTTAAACATATGTTTGGT